GTACATCAGACTCTTATTTCAAAAGAGCAAGGAAAATCCTGTTTTCCATTATGTTCTCTTTAAAGCCTTTTTTGCATCCTGTGATGCTCTGACTCGGATTGAATTAAAACAATCGGAAATCGGCTCAAGACTCAAACAGTTCAAGGTAAAATAATTTCCCTTGAGGAACTCTCTCTAGATAAAGCATACAATCACGGAGAGTTCACGGCTGAGTGAAAACTACAGTATTTGTCAAGCTGCATCCGCTGTTATTGGAAAAGTCAGTGCACCTAGCAGGAAATTTCACCTTTTACTCTCTGACCAGGTCAGATTCCGAACAAAATATGAAGGTAATGTGACTTATCCAACTCACGTTTTAATATATAGGCCTATGAAGTTGATATGTTTGCGCATTCAGAAGATTTGTTTATTTTTTTGTGCATCTCCATGGTAATTATTACCAGTTATCTGTTTAGAATCTGAAAAATGACAACATACAAAGATGCAGCAGAGACTGTTTGTCTACTGTGTGCGTGTTTCCAAGATGGTTGCTCCCTAAGTTACGCTTGCTACACTTGGGGAATGTGTTGACGGCTGTCAGGTGAGGCTGCCCTCCTGGAGCTGCAGTGCTACAGGTGGATCTTGGCACATGCTTGTATATCAGCTATGAACTTTACTGTCTGGCTGACAGACAAACACGAAAATATGATACTGAAATGCAAGAATACCAATACAGCCGTCCAAGCATCAGTCTTAAAGGGATCCCCGGGTATTAAGACATGTATAGCTTAATATAACGTAAATGATGTCTCTTATTTAAATATATAGTAGAAACCCCATGAAAGATGTATGTTATTTTAAAAAATCGACATGGTTTTTGGACTATGGGGGGCGCCATTATTTTATGTGCACAGTACATTCTGCGTCGATGACGTCAAATGGTTGCACTCGGTGAGCTACTGGCGCTTATTTCTATAGTCTTTGGCTTTTTACCGCAACACAACTCAGAATACACAACTCAGAAAATAAAATACTGATACGATATCACATTGTGTGACTTTTGGTTGTAATTTTCAGTCGAAGGGCAACAAGAGAAGCAATGCAAGACTTCACAAGAAGAGGAGAAAAGAATGGGAAGATGCCTGTGGACAAATAATACTTCCTAAAGACCCGCTTCTTTTTTCACTTCACTTTAGTGTTTTTAAAATAACATAAATCTTTAATGGGTCTTCTACTACATATTTCAGGAAGAGACATAATTTACATTATATTAAGCCATACAAGTCTTAATACCCAGGGATCCCTTTAAGAATGTAAATGTGATTTCAGACACACTATTGACAGTCAGACTATTAAAGACTAAAAAAAAAAGTGTTTTTACAAAAGATGCATCCACTGATCTTGTTTTGAAAGTAGCCTAGTGGTCAACTGGGTTCTGATAGCTTGAGATTAGGATGATGGTTAGCTGATATACTGTGCATATTTAATAATAGAAAATTAATCTGACACAGAAATTGCTGAAATTAACTCTTTCCCCGCCATTGACTGACTTTCCGGCTTGACGCATTTTTATTGTTATATACGGTAGGACGTGATATTATTATTTTCTGAAAGAGTAAATCTCTGTATCAAACACAGGCAAAGAAAAAGCAGAATCAAGCGATCTGAGATAAGATGCATATGCAAAAATAACACGATCATCATACAGCATAAATCAAAACTGCCTAACGTTACCGAATGAAATGACGACCCAGAAAGTGTTATAGAACTGTGCAAGCTTTGGATGTGTTGATGGAAGCGATCGACTCCATCTATGTTTTTATCTATGTTTGGATGTAGTCTTTTAAGAAATGTGATTCTCTCAGCTTTTTTTTTTTTTTAAATGACATTTTCAACATTCAAGTGTTGATAATTTTTTTGTTTGTTTGTTTGTTTAAAGAAGAGGCTTTTTTTCTTTTGGCATATTGCATGTTCAGATAGTCATTCAACAAAATATTCTGTGGGCCATGAAAATTTAGTGAAAATTATCAAAATGGCAGTGGCTAACAATGTTTTTTTTTTTTTTTTAAAGCTGGCAGGGAAAGAGTTAAATTTCATTTTATACGGTATTTACTAAACATTATTACAAGCGCAATGTGCATTACCTGCTCACGAGATTTTGGAACAGACTGCAAACTAGTGGTCGGACCGATATATCGCCAAGGCCGATATATCTGCCGATATCTGCCATTTTTCAAATATCGTCATCGGCCGATAAGTTTTTCTGTTTGGCTGATGTGTTCGAGGCGGGACTTTTATTTTGACGGCAGTTCTGCAAACTAGTGGTCGGACCGATATATCGGCCGATATCTGCCATTTTTCAAATATCTGCATCGGCCAATAAGTTTTTCTGTTTGGCCGATGTGTTAGAGGCGGGACTTTTATTTTGACGGCGCCAAGAACTGCTGTGGCAGCGCCTGAGCACACAGCGCTTACATTCTCCCTCTTGTTCGCTGTTGTCATTCAACGAATATATATACTTATCAAATTATTATATCGAAGTTAGAAATTCAAATATTGTGACAAAATTAATTTTGTAGGGTGCCACAAGTTTGCTAAAATTTCCAAAGGGTGCCGCGACTTAAAAAAGGTTGGGAAACACTGTTCTAGAGTATAAGTATGCTTATTTTACACGTTTATTTTTTAATCCATTTTCAAATGATTTCAAATTTCTTAAATATGAATTAAAATAAATAAAATTATATCGGCCATCGGCCACCCTGCTTTACAAGATAGCGGCATCGGTATCGGCTGTCAGAAAACCCATATCGGTCGACCACTACCGCAAACCCTGTAAACTTTTAAAACAGGTCTTTTCTCTTTTATGCAACAAAGTCTTAAAACACATAATATATTTTAAATATTAGAAATGTTTATATTATATTATTAACCATTACATAAATAAATTCTCAGACATTTCTAAATCACTAGACAACTTTTACACCAAAATAATGGATAATGAAAAACACAGGATTTTACTTTTAATGTGCCTTCATGTCTAGACCATAATGTTTGCATGTGCCCATCTATTTTCACTACACCAGAGCTAGTTTACCTAATTAATTCATTTCTATCCCTCAATACCTGAGACGACAGTCTCTTTTAGATGCTGTTTGGGTGTGTTCATGATCTTCTGAAATGCTTGAGATCACCAATTTAATGAGTTCGTCTCCGTTCCAAGTTTACGTGCAGGTTCAGTAAGAGTGTCATTTAAATGTGCGTGTTTGTGTGGAAGAGTTGTTTGACATGCACTGTCTGCATTGCTCAGAAGTCAGGGTGGGTTAAATATTAGCCTCTGTAGTGGCCACAATGATTCTGCCCTTCCCTGAGACATCACACAAAAAGAGCCGCACTATGACGAAACATGAGAAATGATGGCCTGATTTGATATCACAACAATGTGTGTGTGTAAAGCCACAACTGTGGGCTATATTTTACAGTTTTTATCAATGCAAACAATAGGTTTCACACCGAATGCAAACACTTAGCAGTGATAAGGACTGATGATCCGCAGAAGAGCCGTATGAAAGGGCAAGGATTATCAAATCCAGTTTGAACCAAGTGTAAAAACAATGTGCAAGACCCGGATGTCTGTAATTGAAGGGGAAAGTGGTCTGCGATGAGGTCTTGTGTTTGCATTCCAACATTTTTGCATCACGTAATGCACTCGTACAATGAGATACCTGTGGGAAACATGGAGCAGAACCATCAGAGAGAGAGTAAACAGTGATGGCGTGTGTTTGCGTAAGACCACAGGGAAGTACGCACACACATCTGCACCTGTTCTGTTGGTATTGCTCAAGTCAAATAGTAGGCAGAGGGAATTGTGGGAAAGGGAGCGATAACAGGGCATAGTCTCCATAAAAGTTTGGCTTTATTTCAGGCCAAACCACGAGACAAAGATTTTCCGCTCGCTTTTGCCGGCTCGCAGGAATTCCTGCATGTGCTCTGGCTGTCAATCTGAATGACTGTCCTTCCACTGGACTTTTGTGAACTGTCTCATGGAAACCATTTATTTATAATCTGTCTGACTCGGTTTGTCTCTCTCTTTTTCTCTTCTTATTGGTTCACTTTAATCGGTGATCATATCCAAATGCTGCCATTAAATTGCATAGAATTTTTACATTTTCTGATGTCCTGGATTGAATTCGTGTCTGTTTGGTCTGTTTTACTGTACTCTTGGATGTCTGTGTACACAACAATCATGATCCTTACTTCCCTGATGTCATCTGAGATAAGGTGTGTATACTGTATGTGAGTTATGTTTATCTGTGTGTTTACGTTGACAGGAAAAGGTTTACGAGAGAGAGAGATTTATGAGTGAGATATCAGTGTCTGACACGTCTGTCTGCTCTTTTGATACCCGTTTTAAATGCTAAAATATCTACTGTAATATAATACAGTATTTGTGGTTTTACATGAATCAGCTTGTAACACTCCAAAGAGAAAGGAAAACTTGAAATCGCATCATATGACCCCTTTAACATCTTAAAACACTTTTGTATAGAAGAATAAATTAACCAAAATATAATCTACATGTTTCTGCTTGTAATCCATTGAATATGCAATATGTAGATTTCATTAAACGCTAATTTTGTTTGCTTTTACGAACTAACAAGTCTACATTGTTGCCTGGTAATCCACAGCATGTTACAGATGCTGTCGATTGTATTGAGCCCAAAACATTGATTGAATGCAGTGGAACACAATTTGCCAGTATTTTGTATTGGCAGAATTTTTCACAAGGTTGTTTTGAATCACAACTGTGTTCTTCTAATCTATGCGCTGACTGCTCGTGTGATTCAGGTACAGTGTGGATTTGTGTCATACAGTCGTTTATATCTCTCACACACGCACTGAGTATCGTAAACACTGACCTTTAATTCTTCTAGCTGGGACGCGAGTGGGCGGGACATAGTGAACATCCTGCGTTCCGATTGGTCGATCGCATTCGTGCGTTCAGAGAAGGGGCGGATTAGTTGGTCACGTGACCGCTTCAGTTTCTCTCACTACTGAAGCAGATCCTCGCAAACACACACTACAACCGAAAATCCCCCTTTTATGAGGCAAGAGGAGTGTCGCTGTGTGAGAGCAGCGTTTTGCGCTTTACTGAGTGGAATTGGGGTCTGTTTGTGGAGTTCGGGGGCTGTTTTTGTCGTGTTTAATCCTCTGAGGTAATCTGGGATTCTTGAGGCGGGAATGAGAGAGATGCGCTCGAGCGCTCACTGGATTTTCACTCTGTGAGGAGCAAACAGGTGAGTTTAACGTCTTAAAATTCTGGAAAAACACCCCGTTTTGTTTTCTGGGTTATGTTTTAACGACGAACTGTCATTTAGAGCCAAGTTTTGTGGTTAAGCAGATCACACATATCGTTGCATGCAATTCCAACGGCGTTGAGCAGCTTCAAAAGAGGGATTTATTCTTCAACCGACACTTTTTTTTTTTTTGTAACGTTAATCTTAAACGCTTTTTGTCGCATCTCCTGTGAGTTTAAAACAACGTTAATGTTACTGTTTTTTTGTTTTTCGCTTACCTTGTTCTTTTCTATTCTGAGTGCGAGACCCTTGTGCCGCGACTGAAACATATTTTATATCCATGTATGTGATTACAGTGAAATCGCTCAGGAAATCTGTCCTGTCTTGCCTGCACTCGAGACGGTGGCGTGTGAGCGCTACTGACAGATTCTTCACTCCTATTGGTTGTCGCTCGCGTAATTCGCTGCTTATTTGCATAAAGTTGAAGAATTCTGAACTTTTGTCGCTTGACTCGCATCGCTTGACACGCCCACATTCCGTCGCCAACGGTCACTGTCGCTCGTGTCGCCGGAAGTCGCCAGCTCTCCATTGTAAATGAATGGGATTATGTCGCTCTGTCGCTGTGTCGCTGGCGGTGTGAACGGGGCTTGAGTCCCAAAATCTTTCGTGCCCTATTTATAGAGCTGCTAGTGCTAAAGATAAGAAGAGAAATAGTAGTGCATACTAAAGATGAGGGGGTGTGGGAGGATGCAGAGTGCACTGTACATTGCACTCAAAGGTACTTTAGGACTCACTTATAAATATGTGTCCCTGGACCACAAAACCAGTCATAAGGGTCAATTTTTAAACAGAGCAGACTGCGCTTGTCGGAAGGAGGGACTTTGTAGAAAACGAAGCGTTTGAGAGAGGCGGGGCATAGAGGACCTACAATAATGTACAGTATTTGAAAAATAATGTGTTTTTTGAACATTAAAGCATGTCAACATATTCTGTTACACCAAATACACAAAATAATGATCTTTAAAAAAGCATCATATGACCCCTTTAAAGTCGTGACATTCGTTAAATCAATTTGTTTGTTTTTAATCCGAAGTCGTTGTCGGTTAGTGTGTTAAAAGTGCAAAGGTCAGCCAGGGATGCAGTGGTTGTAATGGCTCATTTGAAGGTGGTTTGCTATCTGAAATGGGGATCCTGTCACCCTGCATCTAAACTGTGTGAGAGAAAGCGGCTGCACAATGAGCCATTGACTGTAGGACACACTGTGAATCTTGTGGCTCGTACTGCTGGTGTCCCTGTAGTGTATTTTATTGTCTTGTGTGGCTATTGTATTACTAGTGTCCATTCTGTTATTGCAAGCCTGTCTATGCAAGAGAAATCCTGCACAGCACTTCATTATTGCCTGTATTCAGAGACCGAACAGCTGCTATAGTGAGGATTGAGGATCCTCCCCGTTCTTTCCTCACATTTCCCACACTTTTTTTTTTTTCCCCTCATGCACCCACTCTGACAGTTTGAAACAATCAAGAACACGTCCCAGATCAACACACTGCTGTACATAAAGCAGTCGATAAGCTGAGATTGACCGTTCGTGTTATATAATTTCATGTGTGGGACATCTGCCACCTGTCCCAGTATTAGAGTCATGTCCAGATTCATATTTGGCAGATTTTAATTCCATTATGCAGTTTATTTTTTTAACAGATGGTGGGAAGTTTTAAATGGTCAGTTGATGCAAAAATTATATTGTCGGAGAAGTAGCATAAAAGAGGTCCTTATGACTTCATTACTGCGCAAAAGTTTGTGGTCGTTAAGATTTAAAAAAAAATGTTTTTGAAAAGTCTCATGCTCACCAGGGCTGCTTTTATTTGCTCAAAAAAATAATAGTTAAAACTGTAATATCATTGCAAATTAAGATAACAGTTTTCTATTTTAATATATTTTAAAATACAATTTGTCCTTGTGATGCAAAGCTGAATTTTCAGCATCATTACTTCATTATTCAGTGTCACATGATCTTCAGAAATCATCATAATATGCTGATTTGCTGCTCAAGAAATTTCCTATTATTATCAATGTTGAAAATAGTTGTGCTGCTTAATATTTTTATGGAAACCGTGATACATTTTTTTCAGGATTCTTGTATTTACAGCATTTATTTGAAATAGAAATACATTATAAATGTCTTTACTGTCACTTTTGATCAATTTAATGCATCCTTGCTGAATAAAAGTACTATTATTTTAATATGGACTACTTTAAAGGTGTCCCTTTTTCCTCTTTCACTTTCATTTTACGGGAAATAGCATCATAACCATTTAATTTTATGTTTTGTAGAAGAAAGGCAGCTTTGAAACGACATAAGGCTGACTAAACCTCATTTTTGGATCTTAAAGGGACAAATACTGTGGTTATTGTCTGGTAATATCCACCCACCTGTTGTTGTTGTCATTGTTTAGAGTTGTTCTGCCTTTCAGGCTTGGCAGCCTGTGTGTTGTGTTTCTGTTTCTGGGTGGGTGTGTCAGAGTTGTCGTCATCCGTCAGCACAACAGTTGTCGCTAGTGCTAAGTTTGATATTGCATCATGAGTTGAAACACGTGAGCTTTGTGTGTACGCGTGCGGTTTGTTGTCTTGACAGCATAATAAACTTAAGCGGCGTCCCCTTAATCGCTCCCCTTTAGATTTATTTGATCCATTTTAGCATTTTTATTTGTTTATGTTTGTGCTTATTTGGCTTTTCCGCCAAGAATGCAACTCTTATTCAGGTTAATAAGGTTTTTTTTTTCACACGCCTATAAATGTGTAGTGTGGTATTGCCGTTGTTGGCTTGGGCTCATTTATTGAGCCCACCCTCAGTACATGTGTGTGTGTTTTTTTTTTTTCTGGCAGAGTTGTGTGTCTCTAATCTGAACCATCTTTCCAAGCGCCATTTGACCTGAATGAGCAGCTTAGCCACGTACAGCAGAGAAAAGAAGCCCCTCCAGAGTGAATCGCAGAAGAGAGCGAGTGTGAAAGCCTAGAGAGGTACAGGTGAAAGCTTTTACCGAGGCCTGGGAAATGCCTGACACTGTCTGGCACAACTGTCTGGAGTTTGCAAAGCGTCATTATTAAGATATCTAGGATTAAGGATTTGAAGAAACCTCGAATGGAAACTTCGCCTCATGAATGAATGGTTCTTGAAATCATGTCGTCTGTTCAGGAGAGGTGTGCTATTACTTTGATCAAACTTACTTTTTTCACCCGTTGAGTAGTAAAATGGTTGAATCGAATCTTTAAATCCATTCAAAAGTATGGGATCTGTATGATTTTTTAAATTTTTTAAATTTTGTTTTTCAAAGAAGTCTTTTATAGTCACCAAGGCTGCATTTATTTGCTCAAAATTATAGTAAAAATTGAGGAATGTTATTGCAATTTCTGTTGGAATGTGTTTAAATGTAATTCTTAAAATGCAAATATAATTTCCTGTGATGCTGATTTGATGCTCAAGAAACATGAAATTTCATGATATCTTGAGGATTCTTTGATGAATGGAAAGTTTAAAAAACAGCATTAATTTGAATTAGACCTAAGTTGTAACATCATAAATGCATTTTCCTATGACTTTTGATCAATTTAGTGCGTCCTTGATGGATAAAAGTCTTAAAGGAGACCTATTATGCCCCAGAATGTGTCTGTGAAGTTCCAGCTCAAAATACCCCACAAATCACTTATTATATCATTTTGAAATTTTGATTGGAAGCAGAAACAGGCTGTTTTCGTGCATGTCTCTTTAAATGCAAATGAGCTGCTGCTCCCTGCCCCCTTTTCCAGAATAGTGCTGTGCCTTTACAGCTCCTTCCTCAGATACTCTGCTAAAAAAAACATCTGTTTGGTTTTGATTATCATGTCTATTGCTCTGAAATCATGCTTTTTAAACCATATTAGTTTCAACTTCTGATCGGCCTTTACGGTTTTCTGAGCGCCCACAAGCGGCCGTCACGCGGCATGTGAGTACTAAACTAAGTTCTCTTTCATGTCTTATTGCGCTTAAACGGCCAAATTCTACAAGTTTGTTAAAAACACACGAGTTACAAAAACAGTTGGTTATGTCTGTGAAGGTGAACAGCTGGGAAAGAAATGGCATGTTTAGGCTATATTAGATCTGTGTGGCAGCAGCGTAATATACAGTAGGGCTGTCTAAAAATAATTAGATTTTCGAATGTTCGTCGAATTTAAAATAAAAATCCACATTCGAATACAAAAACGTTGCATTCGAATAATGCACCGGGGACCCGATTATAGCACTTAAACACGAAAAAAAGTCAGATTTTCATGATGTCACCTTTAATTTCTTGAAAAATCTTACGAACCAATGGTAGTGGACCATCTGGAGAAATTCAGTGCTCTGTCATTTTTAATGCTCTACAGCTTGACTCACACTAGAGAGAGAAATCCACATGTCTGGAACAATAGTGTGTGTATGAGAGAGAGAGAGAGAACAAAAATCAGGCTTAACTAAACCTGATAGTGTTATAGGATAGGGCTGCCCTCCTGTTGGTTGACCTGACACCACCCTTCACTGTTGGCGGGACAGTCACTCTTTTCTTTTTGTCGAGGGTGAACAAAGAACGAAGTCCATTGTGGATAGAGATACTCTCAGCAAGCGAGTTCAGCTAATGTGCGGTTGGCTGTTTTTTGATTGTATTGATCGGTGGACTTATGTGCGTGTTGTGTGGGATGATGAGTCTGTCCTTGGGGCATTACTGATCGAGACCGTTTTGCCTGTCAAATGAAGTGCACCGACTTCCTCTCTCAGGTTTTTTGATTCAGTCAGTGCAGTATGTATTGTTAGGTGTGTACTAGGGATGGGCAAATATAAGTATTTAGAGTAATGGCATTTCCACACAGCATGCGCATACTCAAGCTAAATCTCTCTCTTTCTCTCCAGGTGAAGACAGCAGGAAAATTCAGTAGAGATGAGTGGCGATTCGAGACAGGGGGTGGTGACGACCCCTCCGGCCCCCAGCGTGGGGAAAAGGGAGGGCTACTTCGACCGCATCAACGAAAACGACCCTGAATACCTGCGTGCACGCAACATGTCACCAGATCTGCGACAAGACTTCAACATGATGGAGCAGAAGAAAAGGGTCACGCAGATACTACAGAGTCCAGTAAGAAAACACAAACACACACTGAAATGACACTTTGGTGTTCCCAGTGGAAAATGACTGGGCTTGTAAATCTCTTATTATACTATTTCTCACCAAATCTTGGACTCAATCTTTTTATTAACTTGTTTTCTTTGTTATTTGCCTTTCAGCAACAGGTTTTGTATTTCTTTTTGGAACTGATTGATCGCAGGCCTCATTAATTTGAGCTTATGCACCTCAATTTTTGAGTAAACAAGCATTAATTGTGGATAATTTTGAAAATATTCACTCAAAAAATGAGACCTATGATCAGTTAGCTCCAAAAAGAAATACAAAACTAATTGAAAGAAAACAAGTTGATAAAAATATTGAATCCTGAATTTGGTAATAATATAGAATAATGAGAAGCAGTTTTTTGAAGGTGACCATTTTTGTCTGGGAACACCACATGTGTAAAAACTCAAATTTTTTGGTAAGTCAAGTTTTAGTCCAATGCGAAAACATTAACTAGCGTTTTCAGGAAAAAGAAAATCTTCTTCGGGTTAAAATGATCAGAAAAAGTAAAGGTTCCAAAAGTTTTTTTTTTTTGCAGGAATACTATGAAAGAACCATTTTTGATGAGCCAACGAACCTTCAGTGAATGGTTCTCAGAACTGTTTTTTTTCTTGGTGTGAAGAACATTAAAAAGTATTAAAAAAAAAACTTTTTCTACTGTAAAGAACCTTTTGTGCAATGGAAAGGTTCTATAGATGTTAAAAGTTCTTCAAAGAACCATCAATTCCAATAAAAGAACCTTTATTCACCCTAGAATTGGAATCTATGGTTCCATGGCTTTTATGGTTCCGACCTTTTCAACACACAAAAGGCTGTTTACAGTGGACAAAGTTTCTTTAGTTTGTGAAGTGTTCATCACACTAACAAAAAAATGGTTCTTTTGGTTCTTCTTTTTCTGAAAGGTTTTTTGGGCAAACAAAAATGGTTCTTCTATGGCGAAAAACCCTTTATTTTTAATGTTTTGTAAAGTTATTGTACTGTAGAGGGATGTTCTTCCATTTTCCCACTGATTTAATCAGCAAGAATGTGCTTTCAACATAAAAGTGTTTACTTATAGATTTTATAGGTTGTCTCGAGCCATGTGGTTTTGAGTAAATGCCACACTGCCATGAAGTTTACATTTAAAACTCGGCATGAACTTCTAAAGTTGGTTTTGAACCCAGCTGGTTGCACCTTACACTGCCTCTCTGTTGACAATGAAAGATTTATGGTTTATTCTTGTCAGATGAGTAGGTTTGTCAGTCGCTTAATTGTGTGTTTGGTGTGATGTTTCGAGTTACAGCTCAATCATGCGCACAAAGCCACAGCTGCACCATAAAAGCCATCTGGAAGACCACACCCTATTACACGCACACCACCGACTTCCACATCTTGTATATAAACACAATCCAGCCAGCGAAGCACCTCTGACCTACAGTAGAGAGAGATTATAGCGAACGCACACACACGCGCGATTAGTTAACACACACTGGAGAGATTACAGTGAACATACTGCACAGATTACACTCCTGCAGACATTTCAGCAAACGCATACTGTGTTTAAAGGAATGTTCAGAGTTCAATACAAGTTAAGCTGTATGGATGGCATCTGTCACATGCTGCAAATAAATCCCAACTCCCACGCATTGTGAAAACAACTACTTATATTCTGCAAGGATATATTCACTTAGTCAAAAGTGACAGTAAAGTCATTTATAATGTCTCAAAAGGTTTCAATTTGATTTAAATTGTTCTTTCAAACAGAATTCATAAAATAATCCAGAAAAAAATGGTTTAGAATATTAATAGTAAGCTGTTTTCAACATTGATGATAATATAAAATGTTATTTGAGCATGAGAAGTTGCTGAAAATTCAGATTTGCTTTCATAAATGGCATTTTAAAATATATTAAAATAGAAAAATGTTTTAAATTGTAATAATATTTAACGATACAGTAAGCTGTTTTTAACATTGATGATAATATAAAATGTTATTTGAGCACGAGCAGTTGCTGAAAATTCAGATTTGCTTTCATAAATGGCATTTTAAAATATATTAAAATAGAAAAATGTTTTAAATTGTAATAATATTTAACGATACAGTAAGCTGTTTTTAACATTGATGATAATATAAAATGTTATTTGAGCACGAGCAGTTGCTGAAAATTCAGATTTGCTTTCATAAATGGCATTTTAAAATATATTAAAATAGAAAAATGTGTTTTAAATTGTAATAATATTTAACGATGCTACTGTTTTCCTGCACTTTTAATCAAATGAATGCAGCCTTGGTGAGCATAAGAGACTTCTTAAAAATTTCTTTAAAAATTCTTACCAACCCCAAACAGTAGTGAATGCATTTTTAGACCGTGCAAAATCAATGACATTTGTTTGAGAATTTTTAGAAATTTTTTTTCTAAAAAAACTTTAGAAATTGCAAGAGTGATTTGTGATAGTGTTGGTAGCATCAGTAAGAATGGGTTTAAAATCACAAACCAATTCTTGATCTTTTGTCTTGTTTATGAACTTTATGCTGTTTTGGAGTCCAGATTCTTGAAGTTTCTTGTAAAATTATAATAACTGTGTAATATCCAGTTGTTATTGCATATTTGTCTTGTAAGAAAAAGCATCCAATTAAAAATGTGTGCAAAATGATCTATAGTTTTAATAAAATAAATATTAAAAAAATATAAATACAAATAATATAAAAATAAATGATAATTTATAAAAAATATAAATGATAAAAAAATCAATTTTTTTTTATTTATTTATTTGTGAAAATCTGAGAAATATGAATTACTTTAATTTGAAAAAAGAAAAAGAAAAAACCTAGAGAAGCTCTGTAGGGTTTGAGCACTATATTTACAGTATGTCATTGTAATCCCTGTGATTGTGATAAAAACAGAGGCGGTGTGACAGTGCGGTTAATTACGGCAGCGCCGCTGGGCTTTATTAGCAGCAGCTGTCCGAGCACGTGTTTCTGAGACGCGCTATATACTCTTCTCACTCTTCCTTCACTCTGTGTGGAGAGGAGCCAGGCAGGGCAGGCAGCAGGTGTATCGACACACAGGCCTGTGTGTTTACGTCTGCACTATCAGAGCTGATTCAACAAGCCCCTCTTTCATCTCCCTCTCTCTCTGCAGGGTTTCTGCGTATGTGCTCACACGCAGAAGAGCGCTGCTTAAATTGCACGTCTCTCCGTAGACTGTGTTTAAGGTCAGACTATTATAGGCAGGGTGGAGTTTGCTATGCTTAGGCCTCATCTGTGCTGTCACAACCAAAACAAATGAAGACATCTCAAGGTCAACGTATCCCGCTCAGGAACCAAGCGGAAAAATAGCGGTTTGCACTGAGGGACCGCTGATATTTACTTAGGAGGTGAAACAACATGTTAATGATATTAAACTGTAATGGCACAATTGAATTTGTCTTGAATTTCCTCTCTTGGTTTATTTTTAGTTCCCCCACTCCCCTCTGTTTCCCTCTTCAGCATTAAAGCATGCCATTCCCAGAGTCGTAGCTGTTTTCCAAGAGCGCTGTGGTTTGGGTCGGTCGGGACACTTACGTTTGAGAGGAATTTGTGCCAAGAGGCAGGCGGGATCGTTCATACCCTGTCCCGAGCGTCCACTTCTCATCCAAGCACAATCTAATACTCGCACAGGGAACTAGAGTCCCAGGATATCTCCATCTCACCTTTGTACTTTGGCAAGACTTGGCCGGTTTTGGCTCGGGATGCTTCGTTTGAAGTGCGGCCCATGTGAGGTGAATGGGTTACTAAAGCAAATTCACCACATCTGATCAATACACACCCTGACCCACATTACAATGTCACAAAGCTCAGATAACGCCCATCTTCCCCCATGACAGATACGGTTTTATGGTTTGATATTAATGAAGTCACTATGTTTTGTGTTGTTATGAGGTTAGATCGACACTGCTTTGATCTAGTGACAAGTGTGGGCATGTTAGCCCATGTTTTTGTGATGGCGTATCCCTACGTTGGCTGCAGGTTTGTTTTTTTGGAGGCATGTTTGATGATTCCCATGGTTAATCTTTCATCATGATGTAGTTCACCTCTAAAGCACTTTGCTAAAATTTTTAAATATTCACATATTTAGTTCAATTATTTTAGTTCATTTAGTTCAAGACAAGCATCACTTTTACTATTACCCACACTTAAAGGGATAGTTCACCCAAAAATGAAAATTCTGTCATTAATTAGTCACCCTCATGTTGTTCCAAACCTGTAAGACGTTCATTCATCTTCAGAACACAAATTAAGATATTTTTGATGAAATTCGAGAGTTTACTGACTAGGGTTGCAAAGGGGTGGAAAATTTCCGTAAACTTTCCAAAAATCCCTGGAAGATTACAAAAAATCCAGGAAAGTTTCCCAAATTTCTGGAATGTTTCCTAAATTTACTGGAAATGTTCCACCTTTTTGCAACCCTCTTCATAGACAACAATGCAACTGACACATTCAAGGCCCAGAAAGATAGTAAGGACATTGTTCAAATAGTCCATGTGACATCAGTGGTTCAACCATAATTTTAAATACTTTTTAGGCACCGACCGAATTGCCTCGATACCATCGAGTATCGAAAAACGTCTCGTCGATACCTAAGGGGTTAATCTCATCAGCGTCAGTGAGCCAATAAGCCTGCAGCACTAGCCGGTGTGTTTGACTAGAAGAGGTGCGGAGCAGATCGATCATCCGCGTGAGCGATTCGAAAGCGCATGGAGCAGTCTGCTCTCTTTAGCTCTCGTGGTACTGTAATACACCGATCAGTCTGCACTGCACAGTCGGTCCGCGTCAAGTCAAACACACCTACTAGTTTACACCGGTTACACTCAGAGATGTGGCGCACACTTGAGGCTGTAATGTGAATGCGTCCCAGCCCCCTTAGATGTAAGGCTACATTTACACTGGTGCGTTTATGTTTTAAAATGAAAACGATCCTCGTCATACTGGCGTTTCCACTGCGTTTCAAGCCGGCTTTCCACCATCTCCAAGCGACAGACCGGTCATTCAGTCATTCATTTCCAATGGAGAGTAGCATGGGAGCTGTGTCGAGTTCCGATCATAAGCAGAT